CGTGGTGCATGCAAAGAAGCGGTTTACTTTTTAATATATATTGATTGATGGGAAATGGGATGCGTTTTCGAAGCTGTGACTATACATACATATATATATATATCTATCATCATTCATCTTCTTGGTGGTAACTGAGCAGTGGTATCAGTGACGGAGCCAGGATTTTTTTTTTTGGGGGGCCAAAATTGAAATTCCATTCAAAGATGACTAATTCATATATATATATATATATATATATATATCAACTCTCATAATATAAACTAAAATTGAAAAAATTTAGGGGGGGCCAATTTTATTTTACACACATATTTACATATTATGAATTAAAATTCTCAAAACTTAGGGGGGGCCATGGCCCCCCTCTGCCCCCCTTGGCTCCGTCATTGAGTGGTATCATATGGCCTGGGAATGTTCTGTCCCAGGCTTTTAGACTCTGTGTATTGTATTTAGAGCAGCTCTCTGAGATCTTCAGTCCCGAAGATTTCTTTCGAAAATGAGATAATATATTTTTCAAGACATGACATCTACTCCCATCACATGTGGTATATTGCACAACAAAATAGTAGTGGATTTTCATGGAACAAAATAGTAGAGAATTTATTTGCCTACAAAATCAAAATGCTTCGAGGACAAATATCATCATTCTTCTAGAATCCTGACAGAAGAACACATTTGTGACTGACTGACATTTTGGTAGGATCCAGGGCTGGAACGGTTGTCAGAGCAACCGTTTTGGAAGGTGTGGTATAATATCATTTGTACAAGATATAACAATAGAACAATAACGAGCAACACTAGAACAATATTTTTGTGGGTCCCATAAGACGTGAAACTCGAGTTACAAGAGTGATTTGAGCCGCACAAATTATTTTGGTCTAATCGTGGCCGTGAACCTTCCGAAACGGTTGTCAGAGACGTTCCAGCCCCTCCTCCCATTTTGGTATGATATGATAACATTGGACAAGTGTCCAGGTGGTTCGTTTCATTATTGTCATTTGATCCGTCTCCTCCTATCAGTCCCCTCGTGTCATTTCATTATTTCTTTTTCTTTTTCTTTTTTTTTGTTTTGCCGTGCATTCCATTGAGTAATATGTTTTCTGAAAGAGGAAATGATTAAGGTCCCTTTCTAAGTGCTCCATATTAGCAAAAAAATAAGGGCAGAGAATTAGATATTCCCCTTTAGTTTTAATTCAGCAGAAATCTCGTGTAATCTCTGTCTCTGTCATTAAATGTGTTAAATTAATTCAGCAATGTATATACCTATTGTTATATTAATTCAACTACTCCTATGAGATAAAATATCTGCACTGTTTTTCTTTTTAAAATGTTTGGTTGGCTTTGCTTTTGGGGGTACTAGTACTAGTGCTTCCCTGAACACCCACTGAATTTTTAGTAGAAACCATATATATTAGTGACAATTAATTGACCTCCCACTCTACAAAGACACAAAATAAGTGCCGCCCTTGCAAGTGATTAGACCTGCTATGATGGCCAATCATCGAACAGGTCGTTGGTTAAGGGGAGAAAAATTGAAAATCATATGCTAAGAGACAGCGCGACTTAAACGATGATAATCATGAATTAAAAGATGGTTCACCTCTTAATAATGTCGTGATTGTAAATCCTTTTTATAGGTGGACTAGGCAAAAAAATTTGCAAAAAAGAAAAAGAATTGCTGTGTACTTAAAAAATGTAGGGCCATATGCAAATGATGGAGTCCGTTGTCTTATGCAGGGAAGATTGAGCCAAGATCCGGCACCAGATTAAAAGATGAATCAAGTGATAAAAAAGAGTTGTGTTTGATAGCTGTAGCCGGATGCCACTTTACACAACGCAAGTGCCCCGCTTAGCTGCCGAAAAAAATAAAAATAATAATAAAAATGAATTGCATAATCAGTCTCAGTAACAGCTAGACAAAAAATTGCCTATCTTGATACTAGTAATCTTTTAGAACGATGCTCCTAGTTACTAGTTAGTGTACACATGTTCTTTTCTGTAAAAATATGTGAAATAAGTACTAGTGAATAGAATTATTGTTTAGATTCCCTTTTTATTTTAAAATTTTTTTATGTTTTTAATTTATATATATTAAATTGTTATAAAATGATTTTTTTTTGCAAAAACTCAAAAAAATTCCAAACGGGCACGGGACCCAGCCAAAAAGACCGAATTGATCAAGTCCTTGTTGTTCTAACTCTTGGGTGTTTTCTGGCGCCAGGTGTCACCAACGCCTGCATTGTTTACTTCTAGGACGGTCTGTAAAGAAACCTTTAAAATGTCGAATCTGAAATTTCAGTACGTATATTAAACTTCTTTAATCGCTTTTTTTTTTTTTTCCAATCCATCCAAAAATGCTAGAAACCATTAATTTATGTACCCATGAGTTTAATATAACCCCCATTCCATTAGATAAGGTATGATATGGGTAGTTTTTATTCATGCTTGCCAAACTTGCCCAGTCCAATTTCAGAACCAGTACGCTAACTGGCTTAGTAAATGTATAAAAGAAAAGTTTGAGTTGGGGCCAAAAATGATCAGACCGGTTGGATGATCAATTCGCTGTTCACATCTGAAACTAAACAATTCCGAGCATGCCATAATAACATCAACTTTACATTTTTTTTTGTTTCATGTATGTATCTCTCTCTCTCTCTCTATATATATATATCTTATAAAAGAAAAGGAGAAAAAGAAGAGAACTTTTTTTTCCGATACGATAAATTATATTCTATACCTACTCCCAATCTATACTAGGGAGACGAGGATCTAAAGAGGCCGAAAAGGAATTCGGAAACTGAACCACCACTGACTCAGATGGCACCAGTTAATAAAATTTTCAGGAAAACTTGAATATTTAAAATGCAGGCCAAGGGATCAAATCAAATCTCTTAACCTACATTCAAGTAGAGTTTTTGAACTCTTTTGATGGCCAAGTACTCTAGAAGTAGTTGGTTGAGAAAGAAGAGAACACGAGTGTTCATTCACACAATCAACGGCCTTTTAGGTTGTTGGCTACTACTAAAAACTAGACCTGGCAATTATACCCAAAACCCAACAACCCACCCAATCAACCCACTAATTTCAGAAGTTGGGTTGGGTAAATTGGGTGTTGGGTTAATTTTGGGTTGGGTAATAAAAACCCATACATATTTTGGGCGGGTTTGGGTAATTAAGTTGGGTACCCATTACCCAACTTAAAAAACAAATAAACCTCCACCACCGCCAGCTTCACACCTTTACTCTTTAGCAAATTAACAATCCTCTCCACGAAGAGTTCTTTCTTTCTTGCTAACAACGATTTCAATCAAAATAAACAAATTTTCAATTCCACTTTGGGTTCATTTTTGCTACCCTTTTGCAATTCTATCATCTCAAATCCAAGCAGAAGTCACAAAATCTCATATTAAAGCTGTCGAACCTTAATCTCAGATCTTAGACAAATTGCTTTTATCCTGCAAACAATTTTGTACGTATTCTATGTCCTTTTGGGTAATTTTCGTATGTACTTTTAGCCTTTTACGTTTGTTTGATCTTGAGCTCCTAAGCCTCGAGGAGTACTTCTCTCTAATGTCCAAAAATCCAGGATTGAAATATTGAGTATTTAGGCAGCTTCAGTTCTCAGTTCAACAGATTTTTTCTTTTTCGTTCATTGCTTTAATTTGGAAGCTACAACTTGTATGGATAATTCTAAATATGTGCCATATGAACATGGTTGTTCGAATATTTTCGTGATTAGGTATTCTTCTTGTTGCTTTTAAAAATTTTTTGTATGTAAAAATATATTTAAGAGAATTTATGTATCAAAATCTATTAATTAATATATTGGGTCACATTGGGTCATATTTGGGTCATGGGTTTGAGATGACCCAATGTGACCCAACCCAAAAGTAATCCAATTTAAAGTTGGGCGGATTGGGTATAACCCATTTAAATGAAAACCCAATATCAACCCGCCCAAAACCGCCCAACCCGCCCAATTGTCAGGTCTACTAAAAACTTTAAGTCTTGATGGAGTAGAAGGTCAAGAATAAAAACCTTGCTGGAGTAGAAGGTCAAGAAAAAAATATGCTCAATGACTCGAACCAGTCAGTCCATCTCCAAGTAAAAGCCTTACCAAATCTGTCAGATGGTCCACTGCATCCGGGCGGCCAAGAAATTTGTAAGAACTTGAGGCCATGGAATTTCCCGTGCACCAAACAAAAAGAGAGTTGTTACTACATGGCATTATAGCAATATAGCTGATAGCTCCTCAATGCAGTGGGGCTACCCGTAGATTTGCAACTGAAGAAACGTAATCTCCTTCCGGCAAACACCGAGAACGTGTCAAAATTTTGTAGGACACAAAAAGGCGAAATTTGGGAAAAAGAATTTCTTAATGATTCCACTTAGCCGGAGGAAAAAAAACCATAATTAACAGTTTTTTCTTATCATACACAATTTCGCATGCCATCAGGACCCTGAATTCAGTGGAAGGAAAAAGAGAATCCACTTGAACTCACACACAGCTGACAATATACAAAGACCTGAGCGACTGGGTTCTGGTTCGGGCCAGTCCAACCTCAGAAGACAGCTTTTGCAGCATCCGTATTCCACCTAATGCTTTTTGTTGCTTTGCAGAATCTCATGCTTCTTGTCCATCTTCTGTCTCTGGAAAGAAATCCATAGGATTTGGACGATATATGAAACGAGAAGTTGAAAAAAAAAAAAGAAGGAAGATTCTTAAGCAGTAAAAGCCAAACTTTTTGCTTCTTCTTTAAGTACACGCCAAGTTCTCCACTATGTAAGGCAGCATATCCACAAGTCAGATATACAATTTGGCTTCCTTTTGGAGTCGAAACTTAACAGCTTCACCACTAACTATAGAATCATTAGGTTCTGCCGCATCAACAGCTCCACCTAGGTGTAGTGTCAGTGGAACACAAGATCTAACTGAGCAAAAATCCCTGTTCTAACCAAGTTAATCACCAAACACTGGACTCACTATTTACAGAAAGTCAACATTTGAGCTTTTCTTTGCCCAATTTCAGCTCTAAGGCGTATTGTATTTATTTTAAAATTTAAAAAAATTTTGAAAATTTCACGGAGCAAATGCACGGCTGCTTACTAACAACAGAGTGAGAAAATTCTGAAACCAAAGAAGACTGCATGCGAAGGTCGTAAAGTTTTTCGAGCATGAAGTGCATCTGACAAGTAGATTTCAACCTCAGGAGCAAATCTTCTTCCACTGCATTCAACCGCCATGTAAATGTCTTGCAAGCAATAAGAGCTTCAAATCAACGTAAACAAATCTCTTCTGACTAGATTAATCCAAAGGAAAGTCGTTTCTACAAGGCCAGCTCAAAACTGTACATGGTTCAATCCCCATAGCTAATATGAACATAGGACTAACAGGTGGACATATAAGTTGCAATTTAGCAATCAGTTAGCAAAACTTGAGAGACAACAAAACAAATGGAAAAAGGAACGCAACTATCCGTTCCCCTTTGCAGAAGACTAAACAAAGGAAGTGAAATGAAGCCACTCCAATCTGAGTCTGAGCATCAGAGAGAATACCCACATGCATGTCCCTGTAACTTTCTCCATTGCTTTTGTCTTCCTCAGAATTCTATTATCTACAGTGGCAGAATATCTAGTATAAATCTCAGTCTCTCCCTTTAAGGTTCTAATCAGCTAGATGAATCTACACGGTCCATGCCCTAGTTTCATACAAAACGTGGTAAGGGACGTTCTTGCTGACAAGATGATCATGGAAGCTCCTTTTCTTGTGATTCTTCGATTACTGAGTTTTTAACTGAGATCCCATCAAGTATATCACTTTCGGAATCTACCTGTAGCTCTTTGAACATGGCCATCACCTGGATCATTGTTGGCCGGCGGAAGGGTTTATCATCTAGGCACTGAAAGGCAATGTTCAAATAGTGGTAAAGTTCCGTCCCGTCCGATAATGATGAGATTATTTCAGGATCAAGTATCTCCTGGCTTCGTTTATCTCTATGCAGCTGTTTAGCCCACCCAACCAGATTATTGTCATCGCCAAACTCCAATGTGTCAATTGGCTTCTTGCCTGAAAGAAGCTCCAGCAATATAACACCGTAGCTGTAGACATCCCCTTTAGTTGTGCACCGGAAACTCTGGTAATATTCAGGGGGCACATATCCCGGAGTCCCAGCAAGTGTACTCACACTGAGATGAGTGTCAAGGGCATTCACCAATCTTGCCATACCAAAATCAGACACCCTAGCCTCAAAGTCTTCATCCAGAAGGACATTGCTAGACTTCATGTCCCGATGGATTATGTGAGGTATGCAGCTGTGGTGAAGAAATGCTAGTCCTCTTGCTGAGCCAATGGCAATCTTCTTTCTAGCTGCCCAGTCAAGCTTTGTACCCTCTCCTTTATTGCTCTCATGAAGAACAGCCTCCAGGCTTCCCCACTGCATATACTCGTACACGAGAAGCCTCTCTTCTCCAATCTTGCAATAACCTAACAAAGGGACCAGATTTCGATGCTTGATTTTTCCTATGGTCTCCATTTCTGCCATAAATTCTCTGTCTCCCTGACCTGTTACATGGATGAGTTTCTTGATTGCAACAACACTACCGTCTCTAAGTTGGGCCTTGTACACCTCACCAAAACCCCCAGAACCAATCAAGCTGTCAGCACTGAACCCATTCGTTGCTTCGAGCAGATGTGCAAAGGTCAACTTCCGCAGAGGCTTCTCGAATGTGGCCACATTTATGCTTAGAGGCTCAGCCACACTAGAAATTTTCCAGCTGCTGCTGCCAGATGTTGGAAGGCTTTCAACATATTTGTCTCTCTTTTCCTCCTTCTCCTGGTGTTTCTTCACTTTGTAAAGAGCAAAAACAAGCAAGAATATACAGGAAAGAGAGACCATTATGCCTATGACCATCCCGACAGCTACAGGCTGCTTTTTCCCTCCACGATAATAGATTGATGAATGGTGTCCATTTCCAGAGCCACATGCAGGCAGAGGAAGTCCACAAAGGCCTGAATTGTTCTCATATCTGGCAGCCGGAAAAGTAGTCAACTGCCCACCTGAAGGAATAGGCCCTGAAAGGTTGTTGTTTGAAACATCAAAATCACTAAGAAATGAGAGGCCACCCAATGACCAGGGGATAAAACCCTGAAGATTATTGTGTGAGAGATCAAGAACTCCAACGAACTTTAAACTTCCAAAGCTGGAGGGTATATTCCCAGATAAATTATTATGGCCCATATTCAGAACCTGCACAAAGCTCATTGAACCTAAATTTTCAGGAATATTGCCTGAAAAACCATTGTAAGAAAGATCAAGGTAAATCATGCTACCATTGCTAGCAAAGGTGTAAACTGTGACCCCAGAGTAAATCCTGGTTGTTGGGCAAGAGTGGACCATAGGAAAATTAGCTAGCCTATCCGCACGAATCCCTTCGAATTCAACTAGCCCACCGGCACCTCTGCATGCTGTTCCCCCCTCATTTCTCACAAATGCAAACTGCTTCCCAGAAACAATTCCCGGGCGAACAAGTCCAGCTTGGTTAGCAAGCTCTGAGGGGATGGGGCCTGTCAGATTATTACTATTCAAATCAAGCCATATCAGGCTTCTGCACTTTCCTATTCCTGGTGGAATTGGTCCAGCAAGAGAATTGTTACCCAACTGAAGGATTGCTAAATTAACCAGATTCCCAATACCTGAAGGGATTTGCCCAGTAAGTCTGTTGCTGGACAAAGAAACCCATATCAAATTTGTGCAATTAGCGAGGGACTCCGGGAGGCTTCCGGTAAGGAAATTGTTATTGAGAATTAAGGTCTGAAGATTCCCTCCTGTGACACATATGCCTTCTGGTATTTCTCCATTGAGATTGTTAGCCCAAATGACCATGTCTGAAAGATTGGGTAAGGTCCATATCTCCTGAGGAATTCGACCAGTCAGAAAGTTGAAGCTAAGATCAATTGTCTTCAGATTTCGGCATAGTCCAAGCTGTGATGGCACCGTCCCAGCTAAAATATTGTCAGGCAAGATTAACTTTTCCAGAGCAGAATCTGATGATGTTGAGCAAAACCAAGCAGGTACATTCCCTGTTAAGGCATTTGAGCTGAGGTCAAGCACCTGAAGCCGACTACAGTTTGTCAAGGATTGTGGCAGAGGACCAGTTATGTTGTTGAACGGTACGGAAAGATACTTGAGATTTGCCAGAGAACTGACAACTGAGCTCAGAAAATCCCCAGAAAGTTGATTGTGGCCGAGGCTGAGGCTAAAGAGTGAAGAGCACGGACCAAAGCTTGAAGGTAGGCCACCTATTAACTGGTTTGAAGAAAGATCAAGCTCCTCAAGAGTTGCACAAGTTTGCCCCAGCTCTGCTGGAATCTCCCCAAAAAACTGATTATGGGCTAAAACCAATTTCTTCAAATTCTTGAGCTTCCCCAACAAGTCCCCAGGAATCTTGAGGAGGAGGGCATTATGGCCAACATCCAATGTTTCAAGCTTCTGGCAGTTGGTCAAACCAAAAGGGAATCCGGTTGCAGAAAGACTGTTGAAAGAGAGATTGAGCACAGTGAGATTAGAGCAAGTACCAGATCCAAGGTTCACAAGATCGCCTGTAAGGTTATTATGAGAAAGATCAAGAATTTTCAAAGACACAGGTGCAGCTGCTATTAATGTAGCTGGTATATCTCCGGAAAAATTGTTGCAAGAAAGGTCGAGAACAGAGAGGCTCCTGCAAGAAGAGAGAGAGCTATTCAACTTTCCTGTCAGACCATTGTCTGACAAATTAAGCAGATTCAAGTTTTGGCAGTTTGATAGAGAATAACTCAAAAGGCTCAAATCAGAAAATTTGTTCCTGGAGAGGTCAAGTTGCAACAAGGAAGACCCAAACTTGATATTGCCACTTGGGATTGAATTTCGAGAGAGGTTCAGAAGGGATAAACGGTTACAGGATTGCAACAAAGAATCTACAGCAAGTGGTTCTGACAAATCATTGGCAGACAAATCAAGAATCTCAAAGCTGCAAGACTGGACTGTTGATGAAAGATTGCCATAAAAATGGTTGCCACTAAAATGAAGCTGGGCAAGACGAGGCAAAGCCATGAGGTCAGATATGTGAAGGTGACCTCTAAGCCCTGCATTTACAAGATTGAGCTGAGTGACTTTCCCATCGCCAGAGCATGAAACACCAGCCCATGAACAAGGGCTGGAAGAAGTTAAGGACCAATCTGTCAAGAATCCATTTGGATCAGCATCAACTGAGGACTGCTTGAAGGCCAATAAGCTGCTTACTTCATTACCAATAGCTGGTTGCTTGGTTGAGATTTGTCGAGCATTTGACACCAAAAAGCCACAGCTGAGAAGCAAAACTATAAGAAAGACAATAATATCTTTGACCAACCCACCACTTGTTGCTGATAACTGCTGCTTCCTGTTCATCTTGTTCGTGCCGAGATAAAAGTGCCACCCGCTGCATAAAATCAACAGCTCCTAGTTTTACCCAGATTTTTTTTTTTTTTTGGTTTTCCGAATCTTTCTTCTCTTCCGTTGGCTATTGCAGGGACACACTCTGCTCCTCACAAAGCTACCTTCTTCAAAAATAGTGCCCTGTTCTGCTCAACTTTCTTGGGCAAACCTGCTAAGTTGACAGTGACAAATGACAGCGCCATGAATAAATACCAGTAATAGCTATATATGCGAAGAATAAAGTGCCTGGAGAATTCTTCTCCCACATGCAGATGCAATACGAGAACCAGAAAAAAAAAGAAGAAAAAGATAACCCATGGCCATGGTCAAAAAACTTAAAGGCGTGCAACTAACCCAGAATATGGGGAGGAAAAGAAAGGAACGAAAACACCAGAAATAGAAGAGAGAGGCAGAGCGTAGTACCACAACTAGCTACTAGGTCCAGGTGATTTTGCTCGAGTGGGAAGCCAAGCACTCAAAAGCCCAATTCTAAAACGATCTTTTTAGATCGAGGAAGAGGAAATTTTTGGAGTGATAAATTGACAAGTGAAACAGATAGCTCAGCTGCAGAGCGGAGACCAGATGCTACCAAGTGTAGTCTCCCTGTTAGTACTGGTACAAATTTTGGTACTTTCGGGGGGATTGGGTACGATGTTCAGAGTTGTCGGCTGTCACGGGAAGCTTGTGTCATGAAAAAACTCCCTCTACTATTTTTTGAGGAAAATTTTTTATCAACCCATTTTTCATGCATTATATATATATATATATATATAATGATTTGATATATATATATATATCAAATCATTATAATATATTATTCTATCAAAAATTTCACATAAATATGTCCTCTCCTAATTCTCCTCTAGCACAAGGAAAAGCCAAAAAAAAAAAAAAAAAATCTAATAAAAATCTTGGACAGCAGATAGAGCAAGGGGGATCAAGCTGGAGAAGAAGCAAAAAGTGACAAAAGGAGTAGTAGCAGTGAAATAGGAATAGTCGTAGAATAGAAAAGTTGGTGCCAATTTGACTATTCTAGAGAGTGTTGATAGGGAAGGAGGATGAGAGATGAGGCTCTAATTTTCTTTTCCTAGCTAGAGCTACTAACTACTAAGAGGTAGGACTTAGGAGGAGGGCGCAGTGGGATGGGTTGGGTGGCGTGGGCTCAAAGCTTCAATTTTCTTCCTCTATGTCTATCCCCTTTCATAACTCACAGTTTTTTGTATGAGTGTTTCGATAAATGGACCCTGCGAAGACACTTCAAAAGCCGGCAACTTTTGAAGTGCTCCGCAGCACTTAACTACTAAACCCCCCAAACCCCCCCAAGCGATGTGGGAACTTAACCCCACAGGGTGCCCTGCTGCTAAGAAGTAAAGACCCCCCAGACTCCCCGAGACAGGTTTTTCCCTTTCATAACTCACAGTTTTTTGTATGAGTGTTTCGATAAATGGACCCTGCGAAGACACTTCAAAAGCCGGCAACTTTTGAAGTGCTCCGCAGCACTTAACTACTAAACCCCCCAAACTCCCCCAAGCGATGTGGGAACTTAACCCCACAGGGTTCCTCTATGTCTATCAATTGTGTCTTTTTCATATTACGTACGGGGTCAGTCAAACTTGGGATTTGGTTCTCTTTTCTTTTCTTCTCTCTCTCTCTCTCTCTTCTCTCCCTTTCCCAAATTCCAAACGCTAAACATTACGCGCCACCTTCGTCTTTCTTTCCGTATCATTCCATGACAACAAGATTTTCAACGCACAACCACCATGCCCAAGTTGTGTCTCTTTGCATTTTCCTAGCATTTGAGTGCAAGAAAGGCAAACTTTAATAATTTGTTGTTTTTTTTTTTACTACTTATTTCAATTATCCGATTGTTACCTTTATCGTCTCTTACTATCTAGTGTATTTGGATGGGAGTTTATTTGAAGTATTTAAAAATAATTACTGTAACATTTTACTTTAATTTTTGTGATGTGTTATATGCAAGATAAAGATAATTTATTTATGATTCAAATAAATAATTTTTATGACGCAACCAAATATTAAATTATTATTGTCTCTTACTTTTTGTGTATTAATGACAAATCAATGCCTTGGTCTTCGTCGTCATACTAAAAGAGCAAGTAGACAAAAGTGGCAAAGGCGAAAAAAAAAATTAATGGAGATAAAATTAACATTAGAGTTTATTGCGTGTTCTTTTTCAATTTTAAAAACAAACTAGACTTATATAAGTATCCACATAACTAGTAGAGTTAATGCATTTATTTATTTATTTTATAAACAAAGCAGAAAAACATAATCGCAGCATCTACGCACAAAATCGTCACTCTACTAGAAACACCATACAAAGCCAATTACAAATTCTCACAACACGTGTTCGTGTTTTGATAACCGTGCACAAAATTTTCATTTTAAATTCCACGATGTATTTAGCTAAACAAATCATTTATACAAGATTCTAAATGAATGAGTTACAAATTATTACAACTTCCAAGGGAATCAAAATGGCTAGAGCGAAGAGTTAGATTTTTTTTTTTGTCATTTAGTACTATTTTCATTAAGTTCCTAAATTTGCCTTATTTTGTTTTTTTTTGGTAATTTTTTTGGAAGTTGAGAAAAAAAGGAGGATTAAAGCCTGAATTACTTCCAAATCCTGAAGTTTCAACCTCAATTACTAAGCCAACACTTCATTGGCATCTTATATATATATGTATATATATATATTTCACATCTTAACATTTTAGTGGGGACAGACATGAATATTTTTCTACATTGCACAGGTAATAAGGAAAATTTTAGGGGGAGTGAGGGCCGGTGCGCCCACCTTTAAATTTCATCCCGCGTGGTAAGCAAATTTTTTTTTTTTTTTGCCTCCTCCTTTCCTTGAAGAAAAGGATTGGTTTTCATTTTTTTATAATCTCCCAACTAATTTTCAACTAACATAAAATTGGAATACTGTCCCAAATTTCAAAATGGTCCACGAGATGAGTGGGAAATCAAAATAAAAGTGGTTCATACTAGTTGTACTCCATAGACATTAAATAAAAAGTGGGTTCACTAATTCATAATAGATTTAGATGGATAAGATCATCAATCTCGTGTTAGTATGCTCCTCTCATAAGGATCAGGTTGGCATTCAAAAAGATAATAGACGGAAATGCTGATCATTGCCTGGCTAGTATTATTATATATTCTTGACAGAGTGTCAGTTAGCTGAGCGGTGGTGGCTTCAATCTTACTTCATCATCTTCCGGTTTACAAACGCAAGCAGAAATATATACTCGTGTATATGTATATAAAGTAGTAAGCACTAGTAGAAACAAAATTAATGATTGCATAGGAATTTAATATACTATGATGAACTTATAACTTGAGAAAAGTTCAAAATTGATGCCACGCAGGTCAACATGCAAGCGGAGCATGAGAAAGTGTAGCACCAACTACTGCTATTATTTTATTCTGAGAAGTGAAAACATGCGATGCGACTCACTCAAACGCATCATCTAGTCTGTAGTTGATGTTGTTGTTGGCCTTTTTGCTGTTGTTGTTTTTCTTTTTAACAAAAAAGGAATAAAAATAAAAAAGTTTCGTATGGTATACCTAATATACAGAAAATTCTCCGTGATTTCAAAACATATAAAATGATACCTCATATTTTAAATTAAATTGTAAACTAACAAAATTCGTTAAATTTATCGAAAATGACGGTCTCGGCTGTTAAACTTATCGAATTTCGTTAAATTTATCGGATTCTGTTAAGTTTAACGAATTCTGTTAGTTTACAATTTAGTTCAAAACATAATAAGTATCGTTTTGTATGTTTTGAAATTACGAGAATTTTTTTGTGTATTAGATATAATATATGAGGTTTTTTTTTGTTTTTAGTCCAAAAAAAAATTAATGTGGTAGGACAAATTTAAGGTGAGTGAGTTACCCGACCAAAAAATGGTAACACTACTACTAGTGCTACTACTGGACCTAGTAGTAGTACTAGAAAACACGAAGATGAGGAGGGCACGGGGCGCGGGGCTTCGGGTTTGGTGCTTGCTTCTTGAATCTTGATAAACTAGGGTCTAGTACTAGTAGTAAGTAGCATTTGCATGGACAAATAATTGCATGCTGCTACTCTGCCTGCCGTGCTGCTTCATCGTTCATATTTCACGGTACTAGTAAAAATTAGTAGTGTATTTTATTCATAAATAAAATAAAATACTCCTAATCCAAATTTTGTGAAACTTTGTCCGTGTTGTGGGGGACACTCCGTCAGCATGCACACGAGTGATTGTGAATCCTATTCTCTTTGTTTGAGAGAGTGAGTGAGACTGAGACGCCTTTTCCCTCCTGTCACTGGATTGGATGCCAATTAATTACATGTAAGCATCGGACTCTTAAAACTTTAACTTTTACAATAGTAAGCCATATGGTGCTGTGCGGTAATTGAACCAAAACCCCCTCCAAAAAAAAAAAGAAAAAAAAGAAACGAATAAAAAAGCCCTTTTCGTTCTTGTTAATGCTCATCTAGGACCAAAGTTTTATGATTGCAATGTGAACTGACCCTAGTCCGGTATTATCATAATACTAGTAATTTTTTTTTGGACAATATAATACTAATAATATATGTTTCGCTACGAACACCACCGGAATCCTCGCAAAGAAACCAGGTTGGTATTTTGGACCGTTCTTTACAATTGTCTCTTCTTTTTTGGCTGTTGACAAATCACCTGTTTAAAGTAGTAGTACTATACAATTAACATGGGACCCTAATTCTCTCTTCTTTATTATTATTTTTTTTCGACGCACTGCTACACGTAATTGTATATTTATATGTGCTGTCCAATAATAATAATAATAAACAACTGTGGTGTCTTTTATTTTTCTTCACTCGCTGATGACAAAGAATGAACCATCCTTTTTTTTTAAAAAAAATTTTGAAGGAAGAATGAACCATCTTTTTTTTTGGTTGCCTGCCACGGTATCCAGGGCTTTGCCCTGACTAATCCGTTGGTCGACCCGGGTCGCACACCTGGCTGTGGTGGGTGAGTCTCCCAACAAGGATAGCTGCATACGCCAGGTTTCGAACCCGAGACCTGCTTAAGCGGAACCAAGCTGCTTACCACTTGGCCCAACCCCAGTTGGTGAATGAACCATCTTTAATACTGCAAGAGAACGACTAAACTTATGATGAACTTAGGGATGGCAACAGCAGCAGTAGTCATACACGTACTACCACTTGATTTGGTACTTGCCACCCCCCGCCCCCCTTTTTGGCGGGGGAAAGAAAATAGGAAAAGGTACGTAAGATAAGAGGAGAAACCCAACAGCAGTAGTTTGTTGAATTGAAAGATTGATAAATCAGAGGACGCCACGCAGTCATCTGGAAGGTGCGTTGGTCATCGCACGAGCGGGTGGTGGGGTCGGGCCAGGCCGTCTCATTGTCAACTTTTATCAAAAATAAGAACAAGAGGTTGACTTTGGTATGCAGCTTTGCGTTTTCCGACCGGGGAGGGGAGTCGCGGCGGCCCGGTTTACAAGTTGAAACGGGGCTCTGTGTATCCAATCTCAACTGCTAGTAAAACCAGGCGTGGCTTTGTGCTTTGAGAGAATTAGGTGATCCTGTGATGGTTATTGTCATGCGCCATGACTGAATGAGTTTATTTTCTCCATTTATTTTCTTTTTTTTGAAGGACTGCTTCTTCTTTTAAGTAACTACGTCCAGCAGCAGCTGTGGGCTGTGACATCCAAACCAATTCATTAATTGTCCATCTCTTGTTCTTTTGTAGGTGCATCTTTTAATCTATAACAAAGGCTACGCTAACCAAAGATCAATTCACTTTCAGTACTACGTTTATTTATTCATTTATTGTTCTTCCTTTTTAGCTACCAATTGATGTTGCAAAGCGGCATGGGGTAAAAATGATTGAAAGATATTAATTGCCTTCATCGCACTTTAAATGGGTTAGTTTTCCTTTTTAATATGTTTGTTAAATTATGGTTCACTTTTCAATTGAAAAGTATTATTGTTAACTTGTAAATTCTTTAAAATATTTTTATTTAATATAGGTTGTTATTCAGTGTAACCTAATTTATTTAATGTAAAACTAATTAGTCATATTATTATGTAAAAGTATGTTAGAAAGAAAGAGAGTAAACTAAATTTATTTTTTCAATAATTTTTCTTAAATTATGTAAAAAAAAGATCACACATGTCTCGGTAGATATGACAGAGGGATTATATATATATATATTTATGTATGGTGAAGTTGATTTTCGAATTTGATTATTTTGTTCCTTGAGACTCTTTTTTTTTTTTTTTTCCGGAAATGATAGATAATACTTCATATAAATTTGAGACTTTACAATATTTGAGCAACGACTCGACTAACTTTACCAAGTGTACCATGACACTTAAGGAGGAACAAAGGTTCTCTCCTCATCCATACATATGCTCGTAATAGGTGCAATCTCCGTTTGATGTGTCAGTTCATGTCCCCTTTTATCCACTGCTCGTAATTATTTTCCATCGCCCTTGTCAAAATCGAAACAAACAAGACAGCTAGGAGATTGGGAAAGAAGGGGCTTGCGTGCATGGCCGCAAATCGAATATAATCAAAACTGAATTTTAAAATTTTAAAACATTAATTTGAATCTAAGCGAGCTTTAACGAGCCGAATATGTATTAGTTTGGATTCAATCCAAGATTTTAATTGAATCAAAATACTAATTCAAATTCGAGTTCGAGTTCATTCAAAATCAAATTTGAATTATTTGTCATGGGTTTGTTTCGCCTCCTGTCCTATTTGCATGTATGTATCCGATTAAAAGGAGCCTGCAAATACACAATTAGAATGGTTTATGACTTTCAATCACGTTACTAACCTCCTTCAAAAAGCCATTTCACGCAAGATTTAATTGGGTACAGTACTACTTGTCTGTTGCTGTCCTATCTGCTTGCATGAACTTTTTGATCAAATGATAGCTGCTTTAACTTTTCTCTTGAAAGAAAAGCTCTTTCAAGTGGGACTTTATGTGCAAAAAGGATACTGCTTGGCGCTAGTGGCTGTCATGTTACATAAATACGGGAGCCAACCTCTCATTATTCAGACATGATCCCGAAGAGTTGATTTGATTGAGGCTATTGCTTGATAATTGGCTGATTACTAGTAGTATGTTAAAATACAACAGTTAGCTGGGATTACTACAGTTCCGGAACGAACACGTACTAGTATATTTTTTTTTTTTTTTAAAAAAAGAAAGAAAAAGAGGGTCGTGATATCCACGTTTCTTTTTGAAGGATGAAGATCCTTTTCGGGCGCTCAGATTTTCCGCTTTGATGGCGGGAACTCATTTTTCTTCGCTTTTGACATTTCCAGCCGACCATGTCAATTATGAACAGCCATACTGGTATCGTCTAGTCGTAGCAGTAGTAGTAATAAAATCAGTAATGTGATTTGACGTCCGTCCAAATTGGACAAGCAATTATTGGGCAATTGACCTTTAAATTTTGAAAAAGGAATTCCAAACATGAATTTAGAGACCAGGAATTTTCAAAAAAGCTCGTGTGTATATGATGGATATTGGGCAAGAGATTCTAGCTCTGATTTCTCTCGTGATGGTTATTTTGACTGATTCAAATCACTACTATCATCACGAGCCCATCGCTTCATTTACAGCAGGGGTTGCTATTTCTAAAAGCATTTGAAAAAAAATGTGAACAAAAATTTCCAAATCTAACCTTTTTTAGAAGAGTTTTTAGTCAGATGACACACACTACTAACTCGATACAACATATATAAATTTCAGAGCGTACGAGTATAATAAGGTGAAAATTGGAAGGGAAGGAATCAAAACCTTTAGCTGGAATTTCCCAGTTGAAAACATAATAGTTTAGTTTTATCGACACCCTAAGGACAATATGTACATTTTGAGGGGTTTAAACAATAAATACCAATTAAAATAGTACGCGTAATTTCTGTTTTTCATTAGACAACTAGTCGAGCACGCGAAACGGAATCAGCCGTCTTGCGTTCTGTGGCACCCACGCCTACGCCATGAAGATGATGAGCGGCCTTGTTTTTTTTTTTTTTTTTTTTAAAAAAAAAAATGGTCTGAGCAATTGCAAGCTGGGGATAATCACTTACCCTGACTCGCGAATCGCCGCCACTTCTTCAGCTTATTAGCTTTGTTTACTTTCAGTTTTCCTCAACCAGGTAAGATTAAAATTAGAATCTTCCTGCTTTTGTTTCGGTATTCTATGCAAAGGGTTTGTTGGGTTGGGTTCTTGGCTATGAACTAAAAAAAGGGTGTTTGTTAGCTTGGAACTAGTAGTATAATTATAAAAACGGGTTCTGTTTTGTGCAGGAAATTGTATTGATTTGATTTGATTTAAATGCTGGGATAGACCTTGTCGAGGGACTAGATCGCCTGACTTGTTGGTGTTTTGTCAATTAATTTATGTTTCTGTGGATCTGTTAGGGTTAGGAAGGGTGCAGTGGAAAAGTTTTTTTTTAAAAAAAAAAAAAAGAAAAAGAAAGAGGGAGGTCAATTCTTTAACTAATCCGCATGCCGGGTTTCCGGGGTGGGCAAGTGTTTTGGGGTTCGTCAGTTAATAATTTGTTGTCCTGATAATTAGTAATGTGTTGCTAGTTTCAGTTTGCTGTATCTTATTGCCTTGCTCCGCAACTCGGGAGAAATGTCACGACAACCAGCTTTCTTGGGTTTTGCTAATGATAATTAATTGTTCTAGTAATCCGATTAAAGTACTTTTTAAGCAATTTGGGGCACTGCAAGGTGCTTAAGAAAGCTTCAAATCCGGTTTGTACTTTGCATGCGTATGAAGTAGCAGTAGCTATTAAGAGAAAGAAAGTGGGAATAAAGGATAATCCTAGCAAATCTGGCCCAAGATATGCTATCTCACAAGTCAATAACCTACAACTCTATGACTGCCAGGGATAATGATCAACTCTAATTAGTCTCCTAGAACTACTGTGGCAATCCCTAATGCGAAGATAAATCTGTTTCATAACTTCACCCAAGCTTGCCGTGCTCTTCTTATGCACTGAATCTATGTACTTACTTGATCCTTTACAAAGGTTTGCACCTCTGACAATTTTGAATTTCTTGGCAATAGGATGCAAAGGATTTTTGCTGATGTAGTTCATAGTCCTTTACGTTACAAGACTCAGACGCAAAATTTATTCTACTTTTTCATTTCGCATTAGAAAATGGAGTAGTTATCAATTATCATCACGACCGGATCTTTTAGAATTCCCAACCAACTCTTCAATTTTGCTTGAAGGTTGTGATGTGGGCAGAGGAATGTGGTAAATTTGAACTGCACATGTTAGGTGCTGGAAGAAATCAGATCACTTCCTGGCCCCTCTTAAGGGGATGAAAGGTCGTTTAAAGTAGACAAGAGATTGTTTTGGTTAGTGCCTTGAGTGTGCAACTATCCCATTCATCCTCTAAGCTTTCATAGACACTGCTGCTAAACACTTTCCAAGATTCTCTGTTAACTTTGAGCTCATAAGCCAGATATAATGCATTGTCATTGATATAAGTAGCTGAGTGTCATGCTTGTAAAGGATTTGCAAGAAGTAGTCTCCGATGCGTATTAGCATTGCATCACCAAAAATTATCAGGGATATATGAGATGAGAAAAATTTCCACTTTACTTTCTTGGGTTCAAGATTTGCAGCTGCATCCTTCCTTAACACAGCATGAACATGAATAAAATATTCCTTCCGTCCTCTTTAGTGAAGCCATCTGCATCTGTCATGTCCTCTACAGTTACTTGGAGACATCTCGGATGAATTGAAAACAGCACCTAAAAATGAGCAATTTTGGTTTTGGTTGTTGAATTTGTCCACAAACAAACTAAAAAGGTTGCAGCATGAGTTGAATACTCGGTACAAGTAAAAAGCATCCGAAGATTTGTGGTTGCATATGACTTTGCTGTGAGTTTTGCTAATTTTAAGGTGTGTTGCAATGAAGGGGCAGACATGGCGTCTTTAGCGACAGCTGAAGCTTGTGATACAAATGCAGCACTTCTGGCTAGTGGTGACCTGCGGGTACTGCAACCCGTTTTCCAGATTTATGGTCAGTGTCGAGCATTCTCAGGGACCATAGTCACTCTTAAGGTCTTTGAGGACAACGTGCTGGTTAGGGAGACTCTTGAAACTAGAGGCGAAGGCAGAGTACTTGTAATAGATGGTGGAGGAAGCATGAGGTGCGCCTTGGTAGGAGGAAACTTGGGACAGCTAGCCCAAAATATGGGTTGGGCTGGAATTGTAGTCAATGGGTGCATTCGAGACGTGGATGAGATAAATTCCTGCGATGTTGGAATTAGAGCCTTGGCATCCCACCCCCAGAAATCTAACAAAAAGGGTATTGGTGAAAAGCACATCCCAGTTGTTGTTGCAGGAACCTTGATCCGCAATGGGGAATGGCTGTATGCAGATAGTGACGGCATCCTTGTATCAAAAACTGAGCTTTCGGTTTGACCGAAGCCTGTGGCGCTGGAATCAGTTGCTAAGGAAGATTTTGATTCATGAAATGTAATAAGAGCATTTGTACCATGAACATTGACATTATTGAATTGATGATGAATTATTTGACAAGTTCAGCTTATTAGTGGTGTATCTCAAAAGTTACACTTTAGATTTCTGTGAGAGCAAAGGTCTGCACGAATTTCCATTGCAACTTCCCACATCATAGCCTCTGTTCAAAATTTTGTTTTCCGAAAATAGTTTTTGAGTTCGAGCTCGACTCATTTCTAAAACAACTCATTCGAGCTTGAATTCGATCTAAATTTTTATCTAGTCGAGTTGAGTACTTCCGAAGATAATTTTGGAGTTAAAGCTCAATTTCTAAAACAAGCTATTCAAGTTTGAATTCGATCTAAATTTTTATTGAGCCAGAGCTGAGTACCAAGCCACTCTAAGTAGCTCTGTTGACTTGCACCCGTTGAGCCTTTTTCATAGAGCAGCAGGTAATAAAAAACACGCTTTCAGCAGTTACTCGGAGATAAGAGGCACGAAGCATATGCTGTAGTAAGTGGTTTCTTTTGGCTTAAACCCTTGTAAACGTTAACTGTACGGATTGGGTACTCAAGATCACCACTAGCCCAAAAAGTTTAAAAAAAAAAATTAAAATCAATGAAGGGCGGCAACAAGGTTGCAGCGGGCGGCGGCCGTTCACTGGAGGGGCTACCGGACACCCTAATCACTGAAATTCTGGAAAAGTTAGACTTGGAATCGCTTTGCTCCACGGCGTGTGCTTCCAGGGCCTTCCGCTCCTCTGTCGCTCAACATCTTTCCACTCTTCCCTCGCTTGATCTTTCTGTTAAGTCGACTTCACTGCCCAAATTAACAATTTTCGTCGGGAACAAAATCTAATTTTTGTTTTCCGAATTGTTGATTCTTTGTGAAACTTTAAGAAAGATGGCTTTTGCTAACTGTTTATGATAGTACCCGTAAAATTGCTTGCTATAATGCTGTACAGAAACCTGTAGAAATTGGATTTGTTCACTTCATTTATTATAGCTTGATTAGCAAATATAAGTGCACATTTTTCTACCCGTAGGATCGCAATTTTGTTCCTTTTTTTTTCATTTCCCTTGTTGTTGTTATATATTTTCTTCTTTTTTTTTTGAGTTATGCAAATATCAATGAACCGAACAACATGGCAGGTTTTTGCTCCGAATGCTCAGACTCTGAATCACATTCTTCATAGGTTCAGTGGTGTCAGGAGTGTCACTATTGACTGCCTCCGCCTGGAGACCTCTTCAGTCATAGGTATTCTTGGAGCTAATATCCAAGAATTAAATTTGTTGAAGGGTTGCTTGCTGTCTTATTCTCTTTTCACTTCAATTGGGAGGAGTTGCCCTAATTTGAGGTACTACTTTTCGTTTTTTCCTAGATTACCTAACAGATTTTTCTTTCATATTAAATGGAGCCTGATGCAGACTATGTCCTGAACTTTCATAGCTGTAGAGAAAACTTGCTTTAGGATTATGGTTCAAAAAAAGCAGCTGTCAGAATTGCCTGTGTAAATGGATACTTTAGTGATAACTGATAAGCAAGTGAGTGCGCCACTTTTTTTTGTTTTTTTTTTCGTCCCTGCTATACATGCATCTCGCTGTTATATTTTTACCATAGTGGTTTTAAGACTCCATTGTAATTAATTTTCATCATTTTTGGGCCATAATATGTTTATGCTTTTCAATTGAAAGACCGCCAACGTTAAGTCAGTTCTAAACTCGATCATATTGTCGATCACAAAGCTAGTTCATTTGTTGAAGAGTTCCCTGGATGTATCTGAGAAATTTGGGGTGGTACAAGCAATGCTGCTGAATGGACATGCTAAATGCTACATGAACTTGTCTGCAATGAATTGTCCCTCTAGAAGCTTTTTAATTTGTATACTTACTTTGTGCTCTTTCTGATATTACATCAGGGTTCTCGCGCTGGAATTAGTTGGGGAACAGTTACCTGAACTCTTCGAGAAAAATCTTGTTGAGATGCTTAAAAATCTTATACAGTTGGAGGTAAACTGCAATCCCTAGTCCATTTTGTTCGTTTTATTATTCGTGATCACTAAAGCATGCTACTTAGCAATATTGACATCTAGCAGAAAAGAGTTTGGTCACTGATTTAAAATTCTTTTTCCTACAGTCTTTATCTCTTAAAATACGAGAAATAGAACATGATGTGTACAGTATAAAATCCATTCAGCCGTTTTTGCCAAGAAGTCTCAGATTTTTAAAGCTTCAGCAAGTGGGTGAACAGAGTGCAATTCAATTACTACAAGAACATTTAAATGTTGGTAATTCATTAGAAATCACATCCACTTTTAGCTCTATCCCAGCTGCTCTTCTTCATCCGCCGACTGAGCTACAGCATTTATCACTCGTATTGGACATTATCAGTGATGAACTTGTTATCTGCATCGTCAATGCACTTCCCCTTATAGTTGAGCTGAATCTTGAAGACAGAACGTACAAGGAGCCACTCATGCCTCATGACCTGACCAATAATGGGATACAGTCCTTGGGGTCTTGTCGGCGTCTAACTGCTCTCTCAATTGTACGTAGTAGACAGAATTATCCTGTATGTTTCAAACGGATAAACGACTTGGCAATGTTTCTTCTTTCTGAGAATTGTAGAGGCCTGGAATCTGTTACCTTTGGTGGATTTTCCACAGTTACTGATGCCGGCTTTTCAGCAATTTTGCACTCTTGCCGAAATTTGAAACGATTTGAAATTCGTAATGCATCTCTGCTATCAGACTTGACCTTTCACAGTATGGCAGGCGCTGCAGATACCCTTGTTGAGATGAAGATGTTTTCATGCAACCTTATAACTAGTGAAGCTGTATTGCAACTGGCATCTTGTACTAGGTTAGAGGTGCTCGATTTGTGTGGATGCAGGAGCATAGCAGATACATGCCTTAGCTGCTTGACATTTTTCAATAAACTTGCAACATTAAACCTTAGTGGGGCTGATGTGACTGACAATGGTCTTGCTGTTCTTGGCGGTGGACATTCTCCCATTGCACGTTTACGTCTTAGGGGCTGTCGGAGAATAACTGATAAAGGAATTTCTCTTCTATTGCTGGGTAGAGGGACAATTAGCAAGACACTTGCATCTCTGGATGTTGGTTACATGCCAGGAATATCGGATGAAGCTATTTATACCATTGCTTCATCCGCTCAAGCGGTTACTGAGTTATGTATGAGGTATTGCTTCTTTGTGACAGATGCTTCATTAAAAGCATTAGCTTTAAAGAGAAGGCCGCTTGATGGAACTTCACCTCTCAAAAGGCTCGATGTTTTTCACTGCCCTAGATTGTCTGCTATCGAATTGGTGGGATTTTTGAGGAAGCCATCATTCCTTAATTTGAGGTGGCTCGGCGTTGGCCTCACTGCCGCAGCTTCCAGAAAAGATGACTTTGCTCAAATTTGCAAAGAACGAGCGTGGCTGACCCTTTGTTTTGATGGTTGTGAAATAGGATGTCATGATGGATGGCAATTTCACAGGCCTCATGGTGGCTGACATCCAATGTGCGTTCATTTTTTGTACATTCGCGGCCAATGTCAAGTCTGGTTCATGCATAGGAACTTTATACAAAGTTTTTCTTTTCTTTTGGCTTTTTGGTAATATAACCTAAAGATTTAGCATGTATTAAATAGTAGACTTTTATGCGTTTTTTTTTCTTAAACTTCTAGTCTAAGCGGTGAATTGCAATCCCTTTTTAAACTATATGCTTCATCAAAACTGAAGGCCATAATCCCGGTCATTCTTGCACTCAAAAAATAATAATAATAAAAAAAGACTCCACTTCTGTTGGCGTTAAACTCCTGCTCAAGTGCGGAGAGACGCTCCATTGACTCGTCATCACGTAAAGAAAATTTCCACACGCATGAGATCACAATCCGATATACCCTTATATAATATAAGAATGAGTTATGAGTAAAGAAGGTTTATATAAGAATGACTTGTGAATAAAGGAAGTTCGAATTTCAATCGCATGGATAGAGACTTTTTAAAAATGTGAAATATTATATAGTTTTTTTAAAACTTTTGATACAATTAAAAACAACATATATTTAAATATATTTATTAAAATGCCCTTATTTTGCTACATTTAAAACTTTGATTTATGAACACATTTGAGTATTTTTGAAATATGAAATTATTTTACAACCACTTTTGCATTGAATACAATTCATATAAACTTATGCGTTGATATAATTACTGAAATAATGTTATACACACATTTAATTGACATGTGACTTTTCTTGTACAATTAACACGAAAATATAATAACATGTTGTGCAATTAACATATTACTATAACTAGCCGTTGAAGGATATTAAAGAACTTATGTCTGATTTTCAGCGATTTTCAACTGATATCTATAGGAATCACTTGAAAATGATAAAATTGTAAAAACATTGATAAAATAAATTATACAAGTGTGTGTTGCAATTAGAATGTACTATTATTAGCTTTGTCATATTTGACGACGTATTTCTTTCCGAAATGTACTATTATTTGTCCAATGAAAAATCCTCTCTAACCACAGGCACCAAACACCCACGCACCCTAATTTGTGTGTAGATATATATAACATCCCTAATCCGAGGATACCGTAAATACCAAAACAAGCAAACAGCTTCTGTACTAGAAAAAAATCCTCTGCTACAATCCCCAGAACAAAAGCCAGCTAACCCAATACCTTTTCGTCTTCTCAAACTCTGGAATACCAGAGAGTTACAACCAAGAGGAAAATGAAACAGAGATGCATAATAAGCTCAAAATAAACATTGTCCCTAATTTCTATAAAGCTACTAAAGAGGATCAAATACAGGATGGTCACTCTAAAGCTCAATCACATCTCAGATAAATGCGGTTCGTCCACCCCTTCGACTATGTCTGTCATATGCTGTGTTAAATTTCTCGACCAGTTCATTTGTTGTACTGTCACACAGATGAATGAAATATTAGACATCGCAAGCAATAGAGTCAACTTGAAGACAGAAGTTCTCATTTCGAAAAGAATGATCCAACTTATATCTCGCTCATGGTGCCAATCAACTTTTCCATAATTCCTCCTTAAAAGAACCT